TATTCAATCCATTTTAATTTATAAAAGACTTTGAGAGACCCAGTGTTTCAAAATATTAAATAATTTTATAATAATAAAGTTTCATTAATAATATTTTTTCAATATCACACTTTTCATTATACCCATTTCTCTAATATTTATTCTCAAATGAAAAAATGAATAGTTTATGTCAGATGGAATTTCAAAAAACAAATAGATTTTCAGAAATTGAATGTGCTTGGATAAGGTTTTTTTTAAAACCGTAACTTTAGACTAAGAATTGATTATTGATGTGTATTCAAACAGGCCTTTAATAAAAGTTTGCCAGCGTCACTTAATTATTCACACATTTTTTAATAGGGCACGTACAAATTGAAATGTTTAATTTTTTTTAAAAAATAGCATGAAATTATGTTGGTTGGAAAAAGGTAGTATAAATTTTCATTTATCACTAAAAAGGACAAATTTCTTTACTCACTAAAGAAAGCTTGAAAAGTAACTTAGTATATTATCCTTTGATGTTAATAGTATGGATTCTTATATATCTTTGCACATGTACTTGATATGTTAATTAAATCCATTCTGGTTCATTTAATTTTATATAAAGAAAAAAAAATTGATCCTTAGCTTAAAAATATACGATGTAATCAATGAACTTATTTAAGATTAACATTTTTTATTTAAATATTATCCTTTTACCTTTTGCTTATAAATTACATTAATAGTTGAAATTTATGTTAATAAACTATGTGTTTATATTAGGATAGAAACATAACCAGAAAAAAGGACTTGTCTTAGAATAATATGAAAAAGATATATGCTTTAGATCAAAAAAGTATAGCATTTTAAAATACTAATAGTGGCTGAATGTTTGATTGAATCATTGAATGGAATGGATTTAAATTTTAATACTCTTTTGACGGTTTTCACGATCTAAACATCATAGAACTCAGAAAACATAAAAAAAAAAAAATTAATGTTTTCCTGGCCTAAATTATCGTTTAATACAAGTATGCATATTTTTTTTAGCAGAAGAGAGAGAGAGTGTGTGTGTATGTGTGCTATAATTATAGGACTCAATTGTAGGCATTTGTTTTAAGAATCTGAACTGTGCAGTGAGCTAAATGAGTCATGAGTTATAAAAAATATTTTATTTTCTATTATATATTAATGAGAAACAAAATAACAAACGGTTAATTTTCTTAGGACCCGTGAACTAGCAACGTGCAGCATGAGTCATTGGGAGACAATGCTGCGCGTCCATATGGGCCCATCCTTCGTTTTGGACGGAATTTGAATGTCCAAAAAAGAGGGGGGGTGGGGAAGTCATGAAAGGAAAAAATATGTCAATTGAAAAATTGAAATGAAATTAATTGAAGTTGTTGCAAAAAAGTAAGTAATAAAACTCAAATTTCTGTTTGATAAAAAACGAGTATTTTTTTCGAGAAAATAAAGAGTCAAGCTGGTCAAATTAAATCAACCTTGTTTGTTATATTGGATAACTTTTTTAAAAAATAATAATAAAATCTCGTTGAAATATATAAATAATAATTAGATCTCTTAAAATATTATATTTTTTAAAGTTTTTAAATACTATTTTTACATTAATGATTCAATGTTAAATAGTTAAATTGCTCCTTGCTTAAAATGAAAAAAATAATAATGGGTTTACATGAGAAATTGTGATTTCTTGTTTAATTCTTACTATTTACAGAATAAAAGTTATTATTTTTTAAACAAGAATTATAATTGATTATTTTAAAAACTTAAACTCCAATGATAAAAGATGTTTCCTCTAAGAAATTACAATTCATATAATAAAATTTATGATTATTTATTTTTAAAATTTTGATTTTGATAATAAAAGAAATTTTACCTGAAAAGTTGTAATTCTTTATTTAATTTTTGTTACTCACAAAATTAAAGTTATGATTACTCAGACAAAAATTGTGATTATGATTGATTATTTTCAACACTTATTTATCAATTTTAAAAGAAATTTCACATGAAAAGTTGTTACTTTTTATTTAATTTTTATGATTTACAAAATAAAAATTATGATTGAAAAAATAGAGTCAGACTCATTATTTTTATTTTAAACAATGGATAATTTAGTTGTTTAACTTAAAATTATTAATATAAAAAAGGTATCCAAAAATTTTAAAAAAATTATAATATTTTAAAAGACTTGCTTATTTTTATATATTTTAATGAGATTTTATTATTATTTTCTCTAACTTCTTTCTCATGAACGGATTGTGGTTATTTTAAAAATAAGAAATATGAATGAATAGTACAGTAGAACAAAACTTTATTATAGGTTGTTGCAGAATATTGAGAAATGATAAACCTTCTACAATAATTTTGTTAAGTGATGTATAAGTTAGTTTCATGCAATCATGATAATTTATCATCAATAATTTTTTTTCATTGGCACTTAATTTTTAATCTTTCATCATTATTTTAAGGAAACAAAGAAAATAAAAAGTAGAATTAAAGACCATTTTCCTTCCTAAACCTTTTTTTTAAGTGTTGGGTACCTTATATTAAAGGTTTGGGACAATACTCTTTAAATTGTTCTTCCTTTAGATACCCATAATATTCTTCATTATCTAAATAGCTATGGGGCCATGCATAATGAGAGCGATTCATTTTGACCCATTTTGTCACCTTTTTTCTAAGAAAATTAAGTGGTTTCTTATCAATATCAATACCACTTTTAATCTATTTGACCTACGTTAGAATGTTAAAATAAGTCAAAATATTTTATTGTTACTTTGTATGAACCCCACAACTATTCTATATTAACAAATAAAAGAGAAGATAATGAGTTTCTAATGGAAGGACTAGTTTGCTCTTAAAAAATTATTTAGGAGAAGTATTACTCCAACCTTTTGTACATGATACTCAGCATTCTTTAAAAAAAGTTTTGGGGGGAAAAATAGTCATTAGCCCTAAAAATTATCAGTTTAAGTGCCAGTACATATAACATGAAACCAGAGCAAATAATTAATATAACAACATATCATTGAGGCATCATAAAACTTTCAATCTTTCAAGTTTGTCTATACTATCATTTAGTTCTTTAAATTTAATTTTTGTCAAATTTATCCCTTATATTTTCTTAATTATCATGTAAATCTTTTAAGTTTTAACATACATATTGATTTTTATAATAGTCTAATGGATAAAATATAGGCTAAATTATGCAAGACTCCATTAAACTTTGAACCATCTATAAATAACTCCTTTAACTTTTAAAAACTCAATAATAACCTTTTTGAGTTTTTAAGTTTATGCAAATAACCCACAGCCATTAATTATATACTCTCTTAAATTTTATTTTTAAGCGTATTTAAGTGTCCAAAATTTGATAGATAACTTTAAGTTAAATATAAATAATTAATATGTAAAATTAATCACATGGAGTTGTTTACATAAACATAAGAGTTGAGGAGAGTTCATTGTAAATTTTTAAAAGCTAATGAGGTTATGTGTATGTGATTCAAAGTTTAGAAAAGTAATGTATAATTTAACCTAATATAAATTGATGATTTGGCATGTACATGTAACCAAATGAGAACAAATTAACTCTAAAATGAGTTTAATTTTTATTAATATAATCTCTTTAGTGTGTTTTGTTTTTTTGTTTTTTTAAAACTCTAGAGTTTGTTTTTCCATATCTAAATAATTATACTCATTTTTATTAATTCACATGACTATCATCAATATTCTATTATTCAAGTAAGCAAATTTCAATAGTGTAACCTCTTCTTTGAACAATAAGAACCAAATATATAATGAAAGTAGATTTAAAAGGCTGAATTAATAGAAATTAAACCAGAAGGCTAAATTGATCATTGAGATAAACATGAAGGATAACAGGTATATTATCCCCATCATTAATATATTAATGTAAAATTTATTGTAAGATATTAAGAAGCGCCAAGTATAATCTATTTCTTAAATTTTGCGTCGAGCATAGAGCTGATCTCTAGTGCAATTGCCATCTATAAACATAAGACTCATTCCCACTTAAGCATCTACATGCCAAAGAAACAAAAATCTAGTTAAGCATCGAGTTTAAGAAAAATAAAAATAATTTAAAAATTATAAAATAGAATAATATTAAAATTTACTGCTCCACAAATTCACAAATTTTAAGTGCATTAGGGCCTTTTTTTCCTATTTTTTATTTTTTAAAATTGTTTTGCAATATAGTTTTCAAAACGACTTTTTTAAAACAAAACAAATAAAAATATATCAATTATATTAATTTAAAAATAATTGTAGAATTTAAAAATAGGCTATTATTGGCGGTTAGCAATGGTGGTTTGTAATCGAAATTAATATATTTTGAAAATAAAAAATAAAATTTAAATAAAATTAAAATATTTTTATTTTTCTAAAATATGAACAGTTTTAATTATAATTAAATTTAAGACACTTATTCAAATAAATTTTTTATTTTTTTTAAAATAGAAAATGATTTTTGAGAGCCGAAACCTGATGGGTTCTTAGTCTCTTTACGTGACGTGGTTCATTAGCATATGGCTATTAATTCGGACCAACTCAAAGACGTTTGGAAATTTATGGTCCGCTTAGGAATTTTTGAACTATGATATAGTTGTGACTTTGTTGTTAAACTAACTCCTAAATTTTGTAGTTGATGTTGATGTTATTTTCAGGACCCGCCTTGTTTTACCCTTATTATGCATTACAACATTTTACTGCTTAATTTTTTTAAAAATAAAAAATGAAAAATTATTTTAAAAAACTATTTTAAGCCAACTGAATGAACCCAAACATTTAACACCAATTTTTTTTATATAATTTTTTTCTAATGTTGGAGTTTACTCAGATCCAGCTGATTTGAGCGGACTCAACCGTCTTACCCGCTCCATTGGAGGTTAAGTAAGAACTTCGCTTGGAATAGTCAAGGATGGACTTGAAATCAATCAAATATTCTTGTGTTGTTAAAAAAGTGTACTCGAATGGATCTTACACGTCTCGGGCGACCATAACCAAGAGCTATTCTCTTCCTCTCGTCCTTGCCTTGGCCACTGTATTTCATTTCAGCATTCAGAATTTGACAATTCATCGCTTTCTGGTTTTATTTATCTTTTACACAGAGAGAGAGAGAGAGAGGAGAAGAAAGGGCGAGAGTCGTGGGTGGTGGGGTGTGGGGTATAGATTCCTTGGTACGATGTCGTCACAAGAAAATTGAAGAGACTTGTGTACTGTCTGGGCACAGAAACTGCATTTTTATCGCCCTCCTTCCTAACCTTTTCCTAATTTCTGTCTTCCTTCTCTGTTTCACGCATGCTATTTGGGACCGGCCCTCTCTTTATTTCTTCCCACCACATCTCTTTCCTCTCACAGCTTTCACTATTTTCCCCCAACTTGCTAATTCTGTCTCTAATCTTCTCGAATCTCTTCTTTGGACTCTCTGTATCAACCTTTTGTGGCATTGAGCTGGGAATCATGTGAAGTGATTGTGCGAGTTGGGGGTTTGCGATTCTGGGCTGGGTCTCCGAGACAACGCGTAGTTGTTTGTTAGATTTGTAGGTTTTGTTTAAACAGGCCTTGTTTGGATTTACGTTTTGTTTGGGTATATCTTAACCGATAGAATTGACGGATGAACTAGCTGGGGCAGCTTTTTGTTAGTATCTTGGCGGTTGTGTTGAAGTTCTTGCTGGTTGATTTCAATTTTCTTCTACCGAGTGGATTTGGAATTTGGGTGTTGTAATTTTGAATTTGATAGATTTAATTCATGGAGGCTAAATTTCGGGGTAAGAATCAGTATGTCTATGGAACTGTGGTACCGGAAATTAAAGCGGTTGGAAAGAAGAGTTTGGAGTGGAATTTGGAAGACTGGAAATGGGACGGAGATCTTTTCACTGCTAGTCCACTAAATCCAGTTCCATCTGATTGCAGAAATAAGCAGTCTTTCCCAGTTGATCCAGAAATTCCTGCGAAAGCTAATACTTCTAACATTGCATCTTCTAATTGGGATGATGTCAATCCGGAGAAAGGAAAGAGAGAATTGGAGAAAAGGAGGAGAGCTGTTATATCTGAAGGCGTTGAGCTGAATGATGAAGCTGGCTGTCTTAATTTAAACCTTGGAGCTCAAATTTACCCTATCATGGAAGGAGATGAAAAAAGTGGAAAGAAGACAAAGATAGTTGGGAGTGGGACTTCTTCAAACAGAGCGGTTTGTCAGGTGGAAGATTGTAGGGCCGATCTTAGTAATGCAAAAGATTACCACCGTCGGCATAAGGTTTGTGATATGCATTCTAAGGCCAGCAAAGCACTGGTAGGAAATGTCATGCAGCGTTTCTGTCAACAGTGTAGCAGGTCAGTTTGGTTACGAAGTCATCGTTTCCTGGACAATCCGTTTCAGATTTTTTATATGATCATCAACCTATTGCTTTTGTAGAAGGTTTATAAGGGAAGATAAAAAAAATTCACGGTGTATTTATTTCCAATCAAATCAAACTAAGTGGATTGGTTAAAAATATTAATATCAAAAAATAGCTACTGGATAACTAACAGATAAAAAATTTGATTGGACAAATCATCTATCTAAGTTTAAGTACCTAGGTTTTTCCTAAATTAAAATGTTATTGGATAGATCTCTGTTTAAAGAGCTTTTACTTTGGCACTCCAATTAGATGATGTTTTGTTAAAAAAAAAAAAAAAATTGTGTCAGGTTTCATGTTCTTCAAGAGTTTGATGACGGGAAAAGAAGTTGTCGGAGGCGTTTGGCAGGCCATAATAGGAGGAGGAGGAAGACACATCCTGATGCTGTTGTTAATGGAGGCTCCCTGAATGATGAAAGTGGCAGCAGTTATCTGTTAACAAGTCTTCTCCGTATATTGTCCGATATGCACTGTGAGTATTTCTGTAACTGGAAATTTTTCTGCTTGGCATTGGCATTCTTCATATTTGTCTAATTGGCTGCTCAACTAAGAGACTGAAATAATGCTCATTCTAGTTTGCTATTCTAAACTTTATTGTAATTAAGATGTTACATTTGAGGAAACTTGTTAGTAGTATAATTAAGATGTTGAGGAAAACTTGTTAGTAGTATAACTAAGATGTTACATTTGTTTTCCTACTCCAATTAATGACTAGCTTTTATTAGTCTCTCCTATTGGTTGTATCAAGTTGTTCTATACATTCAAAGTGTGTTATTAATTAATAGTACTTCTTAGGTTGGCTGACCATGTTGACCTTTATTTAACCTCAGGTAGGTAGAAGTTATTACCAACAAGTGCCTATGAAACACCTGAAAACTGAACTAAAAGACATAACCTGTGTTGAATTCTTTTGCATGTTTGATGCACATTTACATCAATTATGGGCAAATTAGCTCTGAATCACATTTTTAGGTTTACACTAACAAGTATAGCAACATGGTTTTCTTTGTGAATGTACTGATAAATATAATCAAGATACTCATGAGGTGAGTGAGTGATGTCTTGGAATGTAATTGTGGCTTGATTACATGCTCTTGCTTACTAAGCAGTGTTCTTGAAGTTTCAGTCATTCCTATGGCAAAGATGTTAAAGGTTCAGTTCATGTAACTAGAAGCGGGATTGTTTAACCTCCACTGTTTAACCTGGCTGGTTGGCCACGTTACCATAGAATTTCAGTTTCCAAAGAAACAGAACTGTGGCAGGGGGTTTGTCACTTAATTTCTGGCATCCAATGAGAAGCCATATTGAAATTGATGTGCCATAACTGTAAACTATTGTGCTTCTGGTCAAAATGCATGATAGTGTCTCTTGTTTTGTTGTCTTTCTTTTTTGTATCATCAATATCATTTCCTACTTCGTGATGCTTCCATATGCCTTTCTTTTAACTTTTAGGCAAATTATATTGCCTGCTAGAGAAAGCTACTCAATGTTTGTTCAGCTGAAACAATCCTTGAAAATGTTAACTGTATTTTAAGCTTATACTAAAATGTCTCTGATGTTTGGACTTTTTCTGTCTTCCCACTTAATGTGGTGTTCATCATTGGCATTTTAATTTAACCTCAAGGATTGTCTTCTGTGAATTGCAGCAAATGGATCAGATGCTACTAGGGACCAAGATATTCTCTCTCATCTACTAAGGAATCTGGCAAGTTTGGCTGGTACAATCAATGGAAGGAACATAGCCTCCTTATTGGAGGGAACCCAAGGTTTGGTGAATGCTGGGACATCTGGAACTTCCCAAAAAGTGCCTAATCTAAATTCAAATGGTCCTGAACCCATCAGATCTCCTGGTTCTTCCGCCAAGACAGATAATGGTATCAGCAGTCGGGACCCTCCAAAGGCAATGGGACAGTCTGAGACAGTGCCTGCATATGATATGGTGCAAAAATGTTTACCTTCTGGTGATGTTGCGGTTGGAAGTTTAAAGTCTCCTTCAGGCTCACAGCCTTCAAATGTACTTCTATCAAGGGGTAGCCTTCCATCCCAATCAGTCGCAGCAGAGACTACAGTTAGAAGGAATGGTTTAAATCACATTGACCTCAATAATGTATATGATGACATACAAGATGATGCTGAGAACATTAGGAAGTCTCATCCACCTGAGGCTTCCGGTTTTGGTTCTCTTGATCATCCTTCATGGCTACAACTTGACACTCAAAAGTCAAGTCCCCCACAGACAAGCATAAACTCAGATTCAACCTCCTCTCAATCACCTTCTAGTTCTAGTGGAGAAGCTCAGGTATATTTTTGTAGTATCCAAAGTTATTTCCTTATCAGCAGATTGTGTGATAATGCTCCTATCATGTATTGAAGAAGTAGGGTTTTGCAAATGTTTATTCTGAATCATCGTTTAAATATCCTATCTTGATTGGCCATTCGTGTTTGGTTAAAACATTTATCTTTGCCTTTATTCTTACCATTTTATTCTCCCTTTGGAGTACTTCTGTGGGGTGTTTTTGTCATGAAGACTATATTTTGGGTACAAGTTGGGTTCTTGTTAATATGTTGACCTTATAGGCCTTCATTGTGTTTGTTGACGCAGATATTTTTGTTTTATTGACTGGTAATTTGTTTATTGTTTTCAGAGTCGCACAGATCGAATTGTTTTCAAACTCTTTGGCAAGGATCCGAATGATTTTCCTCTTGTTCTTCGATCACAGGTACTTCCAGTACTATGAAATTACTTTGAATAATTAGTGCATTGTTTCTTTTTGCAAAATTTGATCTGTGGTTTGTTTTGAGAATCAGATTCTCAGCTGGTTATCCCACAGTCCCACAGAGATTGAGAGCTACATAAGGCCAGGCTGTATCATATTAACAGTATATCTGTGTCTAGAAAAATCTGCATGGGAGGAGGTATGGTTTTGTGTAATGCCATGAATGTCCAATTCTGCTGACATCATTGGAAACATTATTTAAATCTGCTCAATGCTGTATGGCAATGCAGCTTTGCTGTAATTTAGGACTCAACTTGAAAAAGCTTGTTGCTGCATCAAATGATTCTTTCTGGAGGACCGGGTGGGTATACACTAGGGTGCGGCATTCTGTAGCCTTTCTGTACGATGGTCTGTCTTCTCTCTTCGGTCTTGTTACTGTTATTTAATACAATCTTTGGCGAAAACTTTTACTTACCATTTCCCTTTGGTTACTAGAATTATTATTTCCTTTTCTCTTCTGCAGGTGAAGTTGTTTTAGATGTTCCCTTGAGCCTTAGAAGCCCACAACATTGTAGGATTTCAAGTATTAAGCCACTTGCTGTTTCTTCAAAGGCAAGCACTCAATTTGTTGTTAAAGGTGTCAACCTTTTCCATTCTAGCACAAGGTAATCTCTGCCTCCTCCTCTGCATTATCTGAATTGGCTCTTTTACTCCTATGCAAAAATATGACCAGATGGGCGATTGAAAGATAAGCTATGTTGCTTTGGTCTAGTCCATTGAGCTACACCAACATGGTTCTGGCTGATAAAATTCTGTCTATCCAAGTTTTTCTTTTTCAAGCTCTGTCTTGCCTTGTATCGAAAAGAAAGAAAAAAAGATAAGCTACATTAATTTACTTAATGTTGTATTAAATATATATCTGGATGCTTAAATAGGTTTGAAAATGCATGAGAACAAACCATTACTTGAATTTCTTGGGCATATTATTCGTTTGCAAGTTGACTGTGTACTTTTATCTGTTTCTATAATTCTGGAAATAGGGAAGTTCTGGATTCTGTTTCAGGCGTCGAAGCAATTGAAATTGTTCTAGAATTAATCTGTTCCTCTTGATTTCAGGTTACTCTGCGCGCTTGAAGGGAAGTATCTGGCACAGTATAGTTGTTGTGACTTGATTGATGGTGTTGACACAGCTATTGAACATGATGAGCATCAATACCTCAGCTTCTCTTGTACTATACCAAGTGTTACTGGGAGGGGATTTATTGAGGTAGTGTCTTGCTGCTAATTTCCCCCTCTCGATGTACACTTGTTAGTACATGTTTGCTTTTGCAGTGAAAATGCTGTTTCCACAAAAACCATGCTTTGTGGTTTTCAATGCAAAAGTGAACATACTAGTCTTGTTTATAGCATAGTGAATTTGAACTGGATATGCTAAAAGAGATGCTTATTCATTGCACCAAACTATAAATTATTGAGATAATCTAAATATATGGTTGTCTGTGTGTGTTTGTAGTTCATTAGAGGCAATCTACCCTAAAAAGCCTAGATAATCGGATACAGTTCCCTAGAAGAGGATAATGTGCAAGTGGAACATTAAAATGATACAAAAAATACTGTACACAAATAATTTCTTTCCGTTTACCAACTTGTGAAGGATGATTTTCATCTCTGATTTGGCTATGTTGATCTCAGGTGGAAGATCATGGTCTTAGTGGCTCTTCCTTTCCTTTTATTGTTGCGGAGCCAGAAATTTGTACAGAGATCTGCGATCTGGAGAGTGTGATTGAGGCAGCTGAGATTTGTGAAGATGTACAAATGAGAAGGAAACAGATGGAAGAAAAGACTCGAGCCTTGGATTTCATACAAGAAATGGGGTGGCTCCTTCATAGAAGTCGTGTGAAAGCTAGGCTGGGTCCCATTGCACCCTTCCAGGATCTGTTCCATTTCAATCGGTTCAAGTGGCTTGTTGACTTCTGCATGGACCATGATTGGTGTGCCGTGATGAAAAAGCTTCTAGACATTATGTTTGAGGGTACTGTTGATGCCGGGGAGCATGCCTCTGTCCAGCTTGCATTGTTAGACTTGGGTCTGCTACATAGAGCTGTGAGTAGAAATTGCAGGCCCATGGTGGAACTACTGTTGAAATTTGCACCAGTTCAAACTTCTGATGACGACAGTAAGGAGAAACAAGCTGGCAAGAACTCTGAAAGATTCTTATTTAAACCTGATAGTGTTGGCCCTGCTGGTTTGACTCCCCTACATGTCGCTGCAAGCATGCATGGCTCAGAGAATGTATTAGATGCATTAATTGATGATCCTGGAATGGTATGTTCTTTTTCTTCAGTCTGCTGCACATTTTCTCAGTGTTGATTGTACAGAGTTTTGACATGGAACAAATTGCAATTACATTTTCTATCCAAAAAAATACATTTTATATTTTCTCAGTCCCAAAAAGATGCAAGACTCAATGGTTATGGCATTGTTCAGGTGGGAATCAAGGCATGGAAAAGTGTCCGAGACAACACAGGTTCGACCCCAGAGGACTACGCATCCATGAGGGGCTACCACTCCTACATTCAACTTGTCCAGACAAAAACAAGCAAGAAAAGTGATGAATCTCATCATCATCACGTGGTTGACATCCCATCTTCCCTTGTAGATAGTAACACGAAGAAGCAAAAGTCATTGTCGAAAGCTTCCAGCTTGCAAACCGAGAGGATTGACATGGCGGCATCGACAGTTCCACACCAGTGCGGGCTATGTCAGCACAAGCTGGCTTGTCACAGCACTAGAACGGCTCTGGTTTATAGGCCAGCAATGCTCTCGATGGTGGCCATTGCAGCTGTGTGTGTCTGTGTGGCATTGCTCTTCAAAAGCTCACCTCAAGTCTCCTATGTCTTCCAGCCCTTCAGATGGGAATCATTAGATTATGGCTCCATGTAGTGTCTGAATATCAGGTGTAGTGAGCCTGCAATTTGTTTCTTTGATCCCTCTTCTCCTTCCTCCTCTTTTTGGCCCTTAATCTTCTAACTTTTTGAAATGTGGAAGTCGCAGTTATTGGTATATATACACACATCGTTGGCAGTTGTATCTGTCCTGAAAGTATAATTAGGTGGGTATGACTTCATCAGCAATTTCTGTCTATCATGGAATGTGTGGTACGATATTAGGAAATGGACGTAGTGGTAGGAGTGAGTTTGTAGACATATAGGAGAGAATACTTTGTATTAGTCGAATAATATTAAAAGGGGTTTTCAGATTTAGGCAAATAATATCAGTTGTTAATTATTAATGAGCTCCTTTCCTTTATTTTTGACAGTTGTAGTAAATTTTTTTATTATTGATTTTGAATATGATATACCTCATCTGACCCTCTTCAAGGTTGTTATAATTGTGTGGTGTTGAAAAGCTAAAGAACAAATGTTCTAAATTAAAAATTTAATGTCCATGGTATTATTTGCATCTCAATTTAGAATTACATTTTATAATTATTTTTTAATCCGTATAATTTATCATATTCTATCTTTTTGTTTGGCCAACAAATGTAGCCTCTTGTATTAGGTAAATTTATGATCACTTTTAGCATATTATTGATTGATATGAAACAAAATGTATGTGCAAGTATTCATCACGTCACGAGAACAAGTCAGTTTTGATGAAACCGTGAAAGAGTTGAGTGGGAGACTAACATTTGGGCAGATACAGATGATTAAATAATGACTACATAATTTGAACCCAAAAAAAATAAAATAAAATAATGACTACATAAATTTTTCGTTTGTATCGTACTTATTAATAATATATTATATTATAATATAATTATATGCGGTGAACTAATCTGTGTAATTGATCAAATTTAACAGAGTAAGGCTTCTTGCTGTAAAAGTATAGTTTTATTTTAAGTCAAGTTTATTTTGAAAGGGAAAAATGAAGGAAGGATAAAATAAAACTAGGAATTTTTGTAATTTAAAGAGTAAAATGAGAAAAAAAAATATTAATTAAATTGTTAATGAAAACATAATAAATTAAAATGCCTTAACTTTAGGAAGACCTATAAATTAATGAATTGATATCGTGCATATTAAAATTGATAGGTGGAATAATTAATATGGGTATTTTCTGCAAAATAATAATAATAATAAATGAGAAGGGTTTTATATTTAGGAACAAACTAAAATTTTAAAATTTTTATATATAACAAAAATGTCTTATGCATATCATAAAATGCATAGTTATGCTATCAGCTACAAGTCTACAACTATGAAGCAGGTAAGGTTGCGGATGAGTAGAGTGATATAACTGAGAAGAGATTGTGGGAACAGTGATTTGAGCTGTAGAAGGGTAAGCCAAGCTTTGGGTTGAGGACTGAGCTTCATGCTTTCCCATGGCTTCAATTTATCTTTCCTTTTCTTCTTCCCTCTTTCCCTCTCCAATTCCTCTGGACAAAGGGAAGATCCAACGTATCCCTATCCCCCCTCCTCGGATTATCCGCTGCGCATCTGCGCCTCCATCGTCAAAATCTTCTTCTTCCTCTTCGGTCGCTAAAAAAAAGCACTGGAAAGTAGGCGAATTTCCTGGTATTTCTGAAACTTCTCTAACTCGCAGTGAGAGGAGGACTCCCATTAAGAATGTGAAGAAGAAGTTGGACCGCAAGGTCAAGGCTAAGGCCTGGGTCAACACTGTCACCGAATGCTTGGCTGACAGAATTGAGAAAAAACAGTGGCTTCAAGCTCTTGAGGTAACTCGGCGTCTCTTATTTGAATGTGCCTCACAAATTAAGCATTTTTGCTCTTAATATTTTGTTTATAACTCAACCAGGTTTTTTGTTCAATGCCTAATATTGTAAATAACTTTCGGTATTTTTATACCCTAATAATCGTTATTGACATGGATATGGGCGTAGGACAGAGACTCGCTCCACGGTTAACACAAGATTAAATATACTTGGTTTAAGTGTAGTTTAAAGTGTTGCATTGCGAATGATAAATGTACTGTGGAAGTTTTATCGATGCTTTAGAGCTTATGTCAAATGTTTCTAGACTGCATTCACTCATAATTTTCTATATGGCAATATATGATTAAATAATCTAAATATGCAGGTTTTCGAGATGCTTAGAGAGCAACCCTTTTACCAACCAAAAGAAGGAACTTACATGAAACTCATTGTATTGCTTGGAAAATGTGGCCAACCTCAACGGGCCCATCAGCTTTTTAATATGATGGTTGAAGAAGGTTGCCAGCCTACTTCCGAACTCTACACAGCTTTGCTTGCAGCGTACTGCCGCAACAAACTTATTGATGAAGCATTTTTAACTCTTAATGAGATGAAGAACCTCCCTCTTTGCCAGCCTGATGTTTTCACTTACAGTACTTTAATCAAAGCTTGCATGGATGCTTTGAAGTTTGATTTGGTTGAGTCGCTGTATGAAGAGATGGTGGAAAGGTCTATCACCCCAAACACTGTCACTCAAAACATTGTCTTAAGTGGATATGGCAAGGCAGGGAAGTATGATCAGATGGAGAAAGTTCTGTCAAGTATGCTGGATAGTACAACATGCAATCCTGATGTTTGGACAATGAACACAATCATCAGTGTCTTTGGTAACAAGGGCCAGATTGATATGATGGAGAGATGGTATGAAAAGTTCCGTAATTTTGGGATAGAACCAGAAACACGCACTTTTAATATCCTGATTGGTGCTTATGGAAAGAAAAGAATGTATGACAAAATGTCCTCTGTGATGGAGTATATGCGAAAGCTTCAGTTTCCTTGGACAACTTCAACTTATAACAATGTGATGGAGGCATTTGCAGACGTTGGGGATGCTAAAAACATGGAATATACATTTGATCAAATGCGTGCTGAGGGTATGAAAGCTGATTCAAAGACTTTCTGCTGCCTTATCAATGGTTATGCCAATGCAGGTCTCTTCCATAAAGTAATTAGCAGTGTTAACTTGGCTAAGAAGTTTGAGGTACCTGAGAATGTCTCATTTTACAATGCCATCATCTCTGCATGTGCAAAGGCAGAGGATTTGATCGAAATGGAGAGAGTTTTCAACCGTATGAAGGATAACCAGTGCCAACCAGATGACACTACATACTCTATCATGATTGAGGCGTACAGAAAAGAAGGTATGCGTGACAAAATTTACTATTTGGAGCAGGAAAAACAGATGGTCACTGAGGATATAAAAAGTGAATAAGCTAATGAATGGAATCCTTTTTTCCCCTACTCAGAATTCAGAGTGCACTATATCCAAACGTGTATATGTCCTCCAATTTTTTTCTTTTGGAGTAGCTGTATTATTTTCTTCCTTTGATGTGGAATGAGTAATCAGTTGGAGTAATGAAGCTTCATTTTCTGGTTGAATGGTATCAGATCCTGCTTGACATTGTTTTTCTTGGGAAGTTTTAAAGAATTTTTACTTAGGCATTCGTTGTACTTCACAAATGATGGAATTTAGTTTGTACTTTTGTGAAGGTTTCTTAGCTCAACATATTAGGCAATGATTAACGTTTGTTTTATGATGATTCATGGGTTAGATTGTACAATTCTGCCTCTGCCTGGGAAATGTGTGACCATGTCTTGTGGTGCCTCGATCGAAATACTCCCTCGGTTCTTAATGTAGGAATCAGTTGGGGGGTTTGTTTTACTTCTAAATATATGACCTTAATCTCCTTTGACTTCCATTTGTGCTAATTTTCCCAAACTACGCATATAGTTAGATTCTTGTATGATGCACAAGTTACGTTGATAATACTCTAATGTAATTGATTGAAAGAAGGGTTATTTTAGAAAAACTAGTAACCAATTATTTTACAGATAACTAACCAATCTAATTTCCTTACTTATGTGAATTGGTTAACTAGTTCCTGCTCTTTGGAGCGAACGGAATAGCATTTCAGAGGGAATAATTGCTCTCATAAATGACAATACTCACGTATTTACTTCATGAAAATTTTATGGCATGCAACGAAATTGTTTATTGTTTATTAGATAAAAGGCTATCAGAGTGAATTTGATTTAACCACAAAAAAAAAAGCCATCTTCTCTAAATGATCACGTGACAACACACTGCTGATTGGGTGTCTTGCATGGAGATTCTGGGCACCGTACTGCTTGAAGGAACGGTCTGTATTTCTGTGATGCAATATGCATTCTAGGATGCATAAGCAAGCAAATGTAGAAGATGGCCGCAAGGCTTCATCAATCATGCTAAAATTCATAATAACCATTCAAGAAGGAAATGTGTAATGCTGGCTCCCCAGATGAGATATCAATTTCTCTGTTTATGTCTCTGAAGCTTTTTTTTTGGGCATATATGTCTCTGAAGTAGGGCGGCCGCTTAGTAATCAAGATAGGAGGCAAAGCCAAAAGCATTAAACCCACAAGGTAGGAACTTTATGTTGGAAAGGGGGGGGTGCATAGCTACTATGTCAGACGTTGAATTTTTCAGTCCAGCTTGGTATGACTGTCCCACCATCCAAAACACTGTTACTGATACTGAAGATGCAACCATGATTCCGGGTATGCGCCATGCGAGAGAAAATCCATGGAACAAGTTTGGAAGTTGTTGATTTTTGACTTTTGATGTTCATGGTAAGTATGACCTGTCATGAAATGTTGAAATTCCTTTTGAAAGTGAAAGTTTGATGAACCCAGGAATTTCGTTTGAAAGGAATCACTTGACAACAAATAGAACGCCCAATGCTTTGTTCTGTAAACTGATTTTTAACCACAGCATGTTGATTTGCAGGGTTTCCCTTGAGAGGAACAAGTTTATGCTGTGTGGTAACATCAAATCATTTGCCTTTACTTTACGGTAATGGCAGTAGAAAGAAATTCTGGTATATCTTCCTTGTCTTTTATGGTCACAAGGCAGTAACAAGGTTTAATGAACATGGTGGGTCGGATTCCTTTTGTTCCTTCTGTGGGGGACAGTGCCTAGAAGGTATTGAAATGAGTGATTGTCCGTGTTGTAATGGATTCCAGCTTCCTTGTGTTGAAGATGCTTGCCAAAGGCATGTGTTATGTTTCCCCCTATTGAGTCCTTATGTTGAGTACAGCCAGAACAAGAGTTCTTTTATAATATGCATTTGTTAGGGGGGAAATTTCGTTCTTCCTCAACAAATTATGTTATTATCATGTTATTGTCAAAGAATTTTATAAAAGGAGAAAACATAAAAGCTTTACGTTATGATGATTATTCTTCGATTGGTGGAAAAAACGTTTCCTGTTAAAAGCATATCACAGCGCGAGGTTCATGATTCTTTCATGTCATCTAATAAACTCCTGTCATGAACAGAATCTCAGATTCAAGAAAAGAAGCATGCATATCGCATGTAGGATCTCTCATCTCATTCTTGGTAGTTTTTCGTATAGGAAGAGAAAGATATATATATATATATATATATGCATGCATGCATATAAAAGATACGTCTCCATCTGAGAACCCATGAAAAAACAAAACAAAAACAAACAAACCCAAAAGCAATACAGAGAGATGCGAAATCTGTGTGTGTAAGAGTGAGAGAGAGCGAGGGAAGAAACTATCCAATTAGGGCATGTTTAGTCTTCAAACAAGATCAGAGAAGAAGAAATAGAGTAGGATTAATGTGGGAATGATATTACCAGAGCTAACTGCAAGTTGGTGGTGGTGGTGGCCAGGGGGAAGGGAGGGACTTGATCTTGAACCTTCCATGGCCCTTTTTTTATTAGTAAACAAGTTTGCTAATAAAAAGTTGTCATTTTTTAAATCATTTCAATTATTAGTGAAATTAAATTTATGAACAATATAAAATTAATAAGATTTTGTTGATTGAAAAAAACTGCTCATCAAAAGTTGTGATTTCCTAAATCATTTTAATCATTAGTGGAATCAAACTTATGAATACTTATATCAAACTTGTGAACGATATGAAATTAGTAAGACTTTACTAATTAAAGAAAATTGTTAATAGAAAGTTATGATTTTTTAATCGTTTTAATCATTGATGAAACTAAACTTGTGAATGCGTACACCAAACTTGTGAACCATATAAAATCAGTAAGACTTTGCTTATGGAAGAAAATTGCTAATAGAAAATTGTGATTTTCTAAATCATTTGTCATTAGTGAAATCAAACTTATAAATACTTATATCAAATTTATGAATTATATGAAAATTAACCAGAAAAATATAAGGTGATCTTCTTCAATTGCACAGCAGGTTTGGTATAATTTATATCATTCTTATTGCTCTGATCATGAACTAACCTATGATAGATCAGAAAAGTAGGATTGTTGTCTTTATTTTGTTTTCTATAAGGGCAAAAATGTCATTTCACTTTAAAATTTATTGACAAATAAATCCCTTAAAAGGAATTAGCACATTTTTTGAGATTAAATTATTATTTTCCTATTTTTGAGGAATTTATCTATTATTCTCCCTAAGATAGTTGCACATAGATTAGAAGATATAATAAATATTTAAAAATTTGATATACTCAAGCAAATTTATCCCCCATGTATTTTAATACCTTTTTTAATTCCATCATTCAAACTAATCTGATCTCTTGATATGGGAGACTGTTATTATTAATAACGGCTTCATGAGAACTTTAATGATACCTTTGATTGTTTTAACTAGTTGAATCAAGCATTTCTTAATATTTTATTTCAGTACCTTAATGTCTCTAAAATCTAGCATGAAGTAGTATAATACTCTCTCCGGTTTCATTTATAAAATATATTTTAAAGGTTTATTTAATTTTATTTATAACTTATGATGCAGTTTTTTAAGTAATATTTAAAAAATATTTTTAAAATTACTCTTCATGAGAGAAAAAAATGATATAACATTACTTTTTGAATTTATTATATATTGATATATTTGAAATTTTATGCATTTTTATTCTTTATATTTTTTTGTATTGGTATTGATAAAATTGATGAAAATGATTTATAGAGAAGACTAGAGAGTGGAGTGAGGAAACAGGCAGACCCAACTCTTATGGACTTAGGCCCTTAAGCTTAATTTTCTTAAAATGCATCATTTTTTAAAGCCCGACCCTTATATAAAGGGCTCAAAATCAAGTCCATAAGCCCTTATTATTATTTTCTTATTTTTTAAAAGTTTTAAAAATTAAAATTTTTAATTATAATACTTCATATTTTTTAAAAAAATAAAATTATAATATTTAAAAATTAAAATTAAAAAATAAAAATTTTAATTTTAAAAGATAAACATATATTCTAAAGTTTAAATTTAATTTTAAAATTTAAAATATCTTATTTTTTAAGGAAAAATGAAAATAAGCCTAAAAGGGCCGCTGAGCTTGTTTTTTAAAACTTATCAAAGTCGGATTTGAAACTCTAATTTTTTTAAAAAAATTTAATTTTTTTAAATTTTTAAGTTTTATTTTTATTTTCGACTCTATAAAAGAGTATTGTTTTAAGGGTAAAAGATTCTTAAATATTGCTTTTAAAAATAACATGTAATATGAAACAAATTTAAATATGATTAAACGGACCGTCGCAACATATTGTGGGGAAACAGGGAAACGTAAACTGTTATGAAGGTAATGGATGGTACTGGTGGGCTTGTCGCGCATGGTACGCCCCCCAATTCTGTACAAGTGGCACAATTATTATGGTAATATGCAAAATCATTGAGTCCAAAAGGATATGCGAGAAAATTTTTATATTTTTCTCAGAAAATCAAACGTCAATTATGCATGCTCCTTTTGCTTATTTCTTTTTGTAAATTCAAATAAAAGGATTCAATAGCTCCACCTGTTTAAATACTGAGAAAAACTGCACGTTTTCTCTCACATCAACTTTCCTGGCTCTTGATATTCTTTTTTGATAACAAGATGGATTTATATTCTAAAAGATAATAGTGCCTTTATTTATTGGAGAGTGACATAAAGAGGCAATATTTTTAAAATTTTTTCAGGGCACTATTTTTAAACAGCATCATTTGCTAAAATTTGTGGGCAATAAATTTATTCACTTTTTATTCAATTCAATTATTTACTTGTTTGTTTGTCCTTTAATTTATAAATTATTTTTAAGTTTAATTTAAAATAATCCAAATGTAAAAGTAAAATTGCTTTAGAAGTTTAATTTTCTTTATTTTTTTTTCCTACTTCTTATTTTTCCATCCTATATTTTAAAGTATAGATTGTAAAAAATTTAGGCCCAGCTCACTTGGGCCATCAGGCCCATGTGGGGGCCCATTTTTACTTTTTCAAAATACTCCCTCCACGCCCCTATTTTTTAATCACTAGCCTCATAATTGATCTTTCTCCCCTTTAATTCGTTGCTGGGAAGTGAGGAACTAAAGCTAAACAGACCATCATGGACCGATAGTTGGGATGGTCCAAAGTCCAAATCAGAGGAAAAAGGGTAAGCTTTATTTTCGTATTTGAGGTATCGTACTCTCTCATGTTTATTTATAAATTATTTTTAATATCATTGACACTAAAAAAAATTAATTTTCAATTTTCAATAACTTTATTTAAAAATTTAATAAATTTTTAACTTTACTCATATCAAATATATATACTTTTAAATAAAATCCTCCGACATTTAATAAAAAAAATAAAAATAGAGATAAAAAATAATAAAAATGCCCTTTGAATAAGATACAAGAGTATGGTACTAATATCACTACTACTAATATTACTTCATGTTTTAAATTATAAAGCATTTTAAAATAAAATCATGCATATAATAAAGTTTATTAAATACACTTTACAATTATAATTTTTTTAAAATATAAATTTTTAAAAAATTTTTTTATTTAATACTTGAGAGAATATTAAAAAGAAAAAATAATAGAAAAAATAATATTAAAAAATTATTATTTAAATCTTATTTTTATTAAAATATTTTATATTTTAAAATAGTGAATCTCTATCTCTTTTAGTTTGGGAGTGAGGGGACATTATTTTATTTTTTTCTTGTACTTTCGGAATGAAGACAAAAGGGGGAAAATAAATTGCATGTGCATATTTGATGGGCTGTTAGGCTGAGCATGAGAGAGAATCGGACTTGAGATTTTGGTGTTCGAGCGAAGGTATGCCACGTGGATGGATCTGACGCCAATGATCACAACTAAAACCGTCCATAACTGCCCATTGATCCCTTAAAGGGTAAACGCAAACCACTCCAATATTCATTGCTTTTGCTTTTTCTTTGTCTTTTTTTATTTTTTTTTTCTCTGCCGATAATTGGCTTTGCCTCTGAAGATTAAAATCTTCATAAACGACAACCTCTTTTCCTCGTTCACACGCCATCATTCACCATCCTAATTCAGATTGGTTGTGGTTAACTAGTTATGCCCCGCAATGCTCCAAAACTTGCTCCTCAAATTATCTAGTCCACTCATCACTCCATTTAATATTATAAAACATTTTAAATCATTATTTAATTGGGTGTTTGAATTAGAAAATTTTATTGAATGCACTCCCTAATTAAAGTTATTTTTGAAAAAAATCTTATTAATTGTTCTTTGAAATATCTGAGATAGCGTATATATTTTTTATAATATTGGATGGAGAGCAAAATTCAATTCACTATTTTATAACTTATTGGTAATCTGCTCAAAGACTTAATAATTTTTTTAAAAAAATTAAATTAATCTATACTGTTAAAATGTGATTTAAATAATTTTGAACTACGAGAGATATGGAGTGAAGAGAAACGGAATTCAAGTGAAGCGTGTTGACTATTGAGGACAGGGAGGGAGAGAGGGACGCGGTGAGCGTGTATGATTCAATTAGAGTTCTCTTAATCTAAGTTTCGTGTTCATTTTGGTTTTTGTACTCGAGAGTTCTATTCTAGCAAGGACTTGTTTGGAATGCCGAACGAAGTCTAAAAGTACGTTTGGAAGTTTAATTGGGAAAATATTTCTGCAAGTGAGCCAAATATACTCCACACCTCCTTAGATAGCGCTGGATTCAATGCGACCTTCCCATTCATACCACTTGCACTTCCACTATGACCGACGCGAATCTGAATTCCTCAACTTCAAGTCATGAGAATATATCAATTAATCTCCTACGGTGGCCAACATCTCGCGATCCAATTAATCCAATGGTCTATCAAGTGCCATGTGGTATTTTGAACTTCCAGCTCTCCCTCACTCCTAATCAACGGACTAAAAACCAAATCTATCATTGTATTTGGTAAATAAACCTCTTAGCTTTAGAAGATCCGAATCTTGATTGACACCGATGTCACGGCATCAATCAACAGGGCAACACCCCAATCCAACAACACACAGGGCACATTGGAGTTCCAGCTTTCAAGTGGTTCATATTCACCGACAAAAATACAGCTTATAGAGTATATACTAATAATACTAATACTAAATTGTATTTGTAAACTCCCTTTGATTTCATATTATTACACAATATCAAGCATGCAATCTGAGAGTACATTTTTGCTGCATCATCTAAAAAATTATGTGTGAAATGCACATCGAATAAAAACACGTGAAAAGAGAGGAGAGAGTAAAGTGATAGATAGGCAGAAACTATGGGGGGACAGTCGAGGGCCAAAACTTGATCACACAGACACACACACAGACACACTTAAGCTGGAACTTTCTCCCACTTGAGGGGCTTCACTGTCTCCCATGTGAAGTCAGGGTCATCCCTACCAAAGTGCCCGTAAGCAGCAGTCTTCAAGAACCTTCCATTCCCACCCCTCTTGAGGTCTAGGTGGACAGAGATCATCCCAGGCCTGAAATCAAAGTTCTCCTTCACAATCTTCAGAATCTCCTTGTCCGGGATCTTCCCTGTACCATAAGAATTAACAAACACAGACAATGGCTCTGGTACGCCAATGGCGTACGACACTTGCACCAGGCACCTTCTGGCAAGTCCATTAGCAACTATGCTTTTTGCAGCCTGCCTCACAATGTAGGCTCCACTCCTGTCCACCTTGGTGGGGTCCTTCCCTGAGAAGGCACCACCACCGTGGGCACCCCATCCACCGTAGGTGTCGATGATGATCTTCCTCCCGGTGAGACCGGCATCACCATGAGGACCTCCGATGACAAAACGGCCTGAAGGGTTGAGGTGGAAAATGGTCTTCTCGTCAAGGTACTTCTCAGGGATCACAGGCTTGATCACATGCTCCTTGAGATCAGCTGCAATTTCATCGTTAGTCACGGTCTCGTCGTGCTGGGTAGAGATGAGCACGGTGTGGACACGAATAGGAACCATGGCTCCCTTGTCATTGTAGTACTCCACCGTGACTTGGGTCTTCCCGTCAGGCCTCAGCCACGGGCAGGTCCCATTCTTCCGAACCTCAGTAAGCCGGGCACCGAGCTTAGTGGCGAGGACGTGGCTCAGGGGCATGAGCTCGGGGGTCTCGTCGGTGGCATAGCCAAACATGTGACCTTGGTCACCAGCTCCGATCTCCTCTGGCCTCTTAGTGAGATGGCCGTGGACACCCTGGGCAATATCAGGGCTCTGTTGTTCAATGTTAACAAGGACCTTGCAGTTGTCAGCATCGAGACCAACATCGTCGGAAACAAATCCGATGTTCCTGCAAGTGTCACGGACAATTTTCTCGTAGTCTACGTTGGCCTTGGTAGAGATCTCTCCGAAGACCATGACCATGTTGGTCTTGGTGCATGTCTCGCATGCCACTTTGCTGTCTGGATCTTGTTCTAGGCAGGCATCGAGAACGGCATCGGAGATCTGGTCACAGAGCTTGTCAGGGTGTCCTTCGTTCACTGATTCGGACGTGAATAGGAAGGTTTCTGTTGCCATCTTTAAAGCTGCAAAATTATGAAAAAGAAATTAGTTAGTAGTGCCCGAGGAAAAGTTCAAAATCAAGCACAAAACAAATTTCCCCTCTACCAAGCAAGACTCCAAAATCAGCTAGAAAACCCCTAATCACCAAATTCCACTTACAACCACGTTTAAAAGTTCACTCATTCGCCAAATCTAGCGGAAAAAATGATCCTATATGAGGAAAAATCACAGGGCTTGTCAACTATGAGATACAGACTTCCACGCTCCGAAGCTAATCAGAACGCAAGGAAGCAAAACGCATATATCACCCAACAAATCCCATTTCCTAGAAGAAGAACAGGCAATCAACTCCACCAGATCTGAAAGCCCAAAGGGTATTTCCGCACAAACGCTGAGAGGAACCAGAATTGCAGAAAAACTAGAGGACGAAATGCGAATAAAACTTGAATCACAGACAACTCCCAGAAGGAAGAGAGAAACAGAACCGCAGACTGATTTGGAGATCACAAAGAGAAAATGCCAATAAGTCCACCCAAGGAACCTACGACCCTAGAGTAGATCCCAAGATCTAAAATAGCATCAGCAGAATACCTCGAGAGGTAATAGACGAGGAGAGTGAAGCTTGAACAGAAGGAACCTCTTGGAGTTAAGACTGCTCAAGCTGTGCGAGTTGAAACGAAGCCATGGGATCGTTATTTATAGAGGAAGAAGCCGGAGGGGGGGTTCCAACTCAGACCCAAAAGCCTCCCTGATCAGCGAGAAGGGGGCCAGATTCATTAGCTGCCCTTTGAGATGTCAATCCAACGGCCAACGGCTACCATCGATCTCTACAAGTGAATCACAGCTGTCCGTTGCAGTTGTGGAGCTGACTTGTATTTCCCACGCGCCTTTCATGACCACGCGCTTTCCCACCTACACCTACCCCGCCCTCTTCTTCATTTACCGTTGGACCTTCTGTGTTTCCTCATGAGTCAAGACCTCACTCTCTCCTGCTGCAACTTTTTTAACGAGACAGGTTATATTTTTTTTTAAAAAAAAAAAAAAGCTACACTCTTTGTGACTTATTATATATTTTTCTTTTTTTTTTGCTAAAACACAAATCCATTTTTTGTGCTATGTATAACCTTTAAATTGAATCTTCACATTGATGATATAATCCTTTATATCAATTAACACTATTAAAGAGTTTTAAATTTAAATTAATGTTAAAATATAATAACATTGAAATTGTTAAAAATAAATTGTGCTTGAGTATCTATTTTCAATATCAACTCATCTTAGTAAAAATAATTATGAAAATATAAGCTTTTTGTATTTGAATTTGTGTAGAGATAAAATAATACTTTTGATAAAATTATTTTTAATTTAGTCCAGTTGACTGTGCAACAATTCCTACTCTTCTGGGTGGTGCACAGGGGTGGGGAGAGGGGATAGATAGGTCCTAGTCTCTCTAACTTTTTAATTTTGTTTTAATAAAATATTATAATTATGTATTTTTACCTCTCAGCAGGTTATAGAAGTTATGAATTATTAATTTTTATTTTAATTTTATATATAATCTTTTATGTATATATAAAATAATCATTTTAGTAGTTTGAAGATATAATTATCATAACATCTACTTATTTTCAACAAGATAATAATATGCATGTTCTTAAAGTATTAATATCATTTTATTTGCTTTCATTTTATATTTTGTTACTGTAATAAAAATTTCAAGACATATTGAATGCTATGTATTTAATATCTATCATAAATGAATCATCTAAAAGTTAAAAGATTTGGTAAATATATTCTTCCAAAAAAAATTACTTTTTTACTAATCAAGTTATTGAAATTTATAATATAAATAATTTTTACTCTAATATAATTTGATCTCATTGACATAAAGATTTTATAACAATTGAGAATTATTAATGTGTTAATATATTTATTTATTATGATTATCAATTAAAAAATTAAATAATAAATTTAATAAATAAGTAATATAGCCTATTACATTGAACAAAACTTTAGATTTTAATGATGTATTTAAATTATTTAATGCTCATAGAGATGATAAAATTTTCACTAATGTAATGATAATTTATATTGAGAAAGAAATTACTAAAACATTCATTGTAGGCATAATGACTAATAATTTTTATACTATGACAAATCAATGAGCAAAACTTAATATATATATATATATATATATTTGTTCTGTATGTGTAAAATTGGATAAAAATATGTGTGTTAAAATATTTATATTATATAGGTGATATGTGTAACTTTTCTTTAATTATCACACACACACACACATATATATATTGTCATTTTGGCTCACCTTAATAAAAAAATTTGGCTCCACCCCTGGTGGTGCATAGAGCTGTGCAAAAGTTCTTCGGTTTTCTTTGATCCAGTCTAACTTAACATGGTCTAATCCTATTCGATACGGCATAAACACTGATCCTTCAAGACTAAAAAGATTGAAATGACCAGACTATTTTTTTAGATTGGGCTGGACAAGAGACTAAGCATTTGAATCACTTAGTTCAATCCGATCCTATTAATTTATTTAATATAATTATAATTAATTTATTTTTGATAAATGCTTCAAGTGTAATTGACGCTAAGGAGATGATTGTATAAAGATTTGTTAAGTTTGTTTCTAAATTATTGTTGTAATGTAGTATTATTGAAATCTGTTGAGTATTGTTTTTATTAAAATTATAAATTTAAATTATTTGAATTATAACTGAAATATATTTTTCTCATCATTGAAAATTATTATGGACTTAATATGATTATAAATATTTTTATTTTTTTAATTGAGATTATTAGGCTGAAATAAATTATTACCTCTCATAAAGAAAAAATAAAAAAAGTTAAATGAATATTGAACTAACATGATTAGTCTTTCAATCTTATGGACAAAGTCTAATTTCATTAATTTTTTTAAGTTATCACTGGAGAAAATTGAATTATGGGTTGCCTAATTCAATCATTCTCATGAAAGAGACCGGGCTTGGGTTTGGCCGAATTTTAGTATCATCCAATCTTTTATGTAATCTTAGTGGTGTATAGTCAATATATTTCAAAAGATACCAATAAAATTTGATATACCTGTTAAGATGATGCTATCATATTTTATTAGTTTTCATCTTCTATTTTTCGCTCCTCTTGGTTTAAATGTAACTCTGGCGCAGGATTTTAGTACCTGTTAAGATGATACTGTCATATTAGTGCCGCTTCCTAGTTGCGATCCCTTTATATAAAAATATATATATATATTTATATATATAAGAGGAAGATAACTATTTTAGTATATTTATTTTATTTGATTTAATTAACTGTGTTTTTTCCGGGGTCATAATATGCTGACATCAATTTGTTGAAATTTGTGTGCATTTGTTGAAAGGTCTTATTTTTTATATTTTTTTGCTTTTGATTTGGACTTTTTCTACGACGAACTTTTTTTTTTGGTCAAAATTATTGACGTGAGTGTATTTAAATTAAATAGTATTTCTCAGGAATAGTGCATCATCAGCTATAAAAATAATAACGAATATCCAAATTAGTAAGCACCTCATAGTTAAAAAAAAAAAATTCCACGATGTTTGCGCTTAGAAGAATCAAATATAGTTTTATTTTAATAATTATTCTTTGCCTACAGGAATATACCAAAAAAATCATTGACAAAGTAAAAATAGATCATTAAAGAAAATATCTTAAAAAATCAATGGCAATTATATTTTGATATAATTTTAAATAAAATAAATTATAAATATTAATTTAGACAGTATAAATTGAAATTTTAACTATAAATTGAAAGTTATATTTAGAACTTAAATAGTAATTTATAATTGAAATTATAAATTTTTAACTTTTTAAATTGTTGTTTGCAGTATATTATTTTAAAAAATTATTAAAGACCTATATCTGTTATTAATTTTTTAAGAATTTAACTGTGATTTTCTCACATAAAGACAGGTGATCTCAGACATAATTTGAGGCATATAAAACATATGTGAATCCTTGACAACTGTTTAGGAGTAAAGACCCGTTCCAAGCCTTAACAAAAGAATAAACTACTTAAGATGGACTCATTTTTTTTTCCCCAACACTATAATACAATCCAAAGTAAAACATGTGAAATTGAAAAAAGAAAAATAAAAAAATGTTTCGCAGAAAAAAAAAATTCCAAAGTAACAGAATTTGGAATTCAAGATCAAGATGCCCATGGGCCATGGCTCTTCCCAACCCCGGCCATTAAAAAAAAGGGGGCGGGGGACTCGGATTCTGTATTTTTTTATAAGGGAAAGTATCGTATACCGTATCTTGTTTATAATTTAAGCAATTTGTTTCAAAATCGCCATGATGCAAATATTATTTTTCTCATTAAAAAATAATCATGTTCACGATTCATTTCATATATTTAATATATATTTCTATATATGCTTCTTAACATTTAAAAAATTTAAAAAAGTATCATATACTTTCCTCTAAGAAAAAAACCCTGAATTGCTCCCCCAAAAAAAGAGGCTGTGGTCTATATTTTATCCTATTTGTGATTAATACATTAAAATTTTTTATTTCAATCATTTAAAAAATAAAATATACTAGCATTATATAGTTTTGAAAGTATAAAACATTATATAAAATTCAAGCCATTTAAAATTTTAAATGCAGTGACAAAAAAGGTATATCGGCACTCGTGCATCTTTTTTATCTGTCATAACTCGTGAGTGGCAAATGTAGGTATTGTACTTGTTGCTTTTTGGCCGAAATTTTATATAGCATTATTAAATAAATAAACATAAATAACTAGCGAACCATATTTGAGGCATTGGTGTTTATTCACCGGTCAGATCATGGTGTTGCTGGAACAAACCATGATGCCCCTAAATTATGATCATCAAATAGGCCAGTCAACGGCCTGCTGTGGGAATTAAGTTGACTTAAGATATCAAAATTATTTGTTTAACTAAATTTGATTATTTTATTCCTTGTTCAAATCTTGGACAAATCTTAACTACCAGCGATCTACGGTAGTTTTGAAGACCAGTAAAGAATGGTGATTTTTTTTTTTTCTTCAGCAAGAGATTTTGAGACGCTAATTGACCGAAAAATTAAAAATGGAGGGTAATAAAATTTGTTAATTCAAACTAAAACATTCTCCTCGTAAAATATACTTGATGGAGGGCCGAGGCTTTTCAACTTTTATTTCTGTTCTCTGTTTTTTTTTAATTTTATTTTTGCCAGCAGTCTTTTTCGAAATTTAATTACATCATCTTACCAGGTGCAGAAAGATATAAAATCAAAATTCGTTGCCGAAACCACAAGCGACTGTCTTCTTTTTTTGCCATCACACGCAGATGTATGTTGTTGTGAAAGATTTTTTTTTTTGTTGCTTTACCCATTTTTTGTTAAAGTTTTTTGCTTATATATATACATATATGCATAGTAACTGAATCACAATATATAACATTTTTTATAAACTTTGCTTGACCTTTTTTTTATATAAAATCAAAATTCAATATAAATATAATGTACAGGAAAAAGTCATAAAACTAAAGCAAGTTTAGTATACATTTTTTTAAAAAAATATAACTTTAAGTCTATGTACTTTTTTTTATTTTGTATTAATCTCTGTACTTTTTTTATATTTTTAATTATTATACTTTTATTTTTTATTATTTTGGATCCCTTCATAAACAAAGTGTAGAGATCTTAGGAGACTTGAAACAATAAAAAGTAAAACTACAT